CTTTTATTACTATTACTTACTATATATATATATATATATATATATATATATATATTTGAAGATTTGATATCATATTAATTTTTATATCTTTCTAATCAATATTATATAATTAGATATGTTTATAATATATTTTGTATTTATATTTTTATGATATTATAAAATAAAAAACCGTTGGAATTGCATTCATTTGTCTGTACCAGTGATGCTCATTTTAACTAGATTTGATATATTAAATTCTAACAAACTTACTACATTAACATTATTAGAATATTTTAATCATGAAATTTTATATTATAAAAGTTAAACGAATGATACTGATTTAAATTTTTTCAAAATATAAAAATTCTAGTTTATTAATGAGTATCACTGATTTCCGCCATTCTCTCTTGCCCCTACCAGGCGTCGCGAACATATCGTCTTATTATGATTGTAATTCTTGTATTCTTGTTCTTAGTTTGAATTGAGTGTGTTTGCTATCTTATTGTAGAAATTTACAACGACTGTCAGTTTCCTAACCTCTTCGCCAACGAATGTTCCGGTGTTTCATATTGTGTTCAGTTAATAGTAACATATAATCACATAACATGATGTCGCGGTCTGTGCGTGCAGAGACTCGTAGTCGTGCCAAGGATGATATTAAGCGTGTAATGCAAGTCGTTGACAAAGTTCGCCATTGGTAAATCTCTTAACATATTATAGATGCACGAGGAAATGTTGAAACGTTTCACAAAAAAAGCAAAGAATGTAGTAAATATGGATATCAAAAATGGATTAAAATTTTTCTTACTTGCGAGATTTAATAGAGATTTTGCATTACACATGTCAGCTGTAAACAGACTTTTGTAGTTATGAAATATTTCATGTGTGTTGATTGAGTAATAGTGTTGTATGTCTGCTTTTTTAATAACAGTAAAGAAGGTAGCTCCTCTATCTGTTATTTTAATATTAATATAAGAAATGCGTGTCTCATGCTGATATTCTTATAGGGAAAAGAAATGGGTTACAATCGGAGAAACTACTATGAAGATTTATAAATGGGTACCTATATCGACACTTGATCAGGTAAATAAAAGTTGCAAGACATTTGTAAAAATAACCTATTAAAAATAATATTTCATTTTATAGAAGAAGAAAGGAAAAACAGTTGCAGACAAAGAAAATGGTTTGCCAAGGAAAAGTGGATTAGATTCTTCAAATTCCAACTTTGGTCTTACAGAGGATTCAAATACATGTAAGTTAAATTTCATAATATATAAAATATATTATTTTTGAATATTAAAATTTATAAAAGTTGTATAATATGTTAGGTTTTTCAACTGTTAGTGATTCTCAAGGATTAACAGACTTTTCTGCACATCTGGGATTTTCAGAAGATTCCAATTCACAAAATAGTGAACCAACACCTAAAAGGTTAAAGACTGATTAAAGTTTATCTTGTAACTGTTATTTGAGATATAAGATATTTAGGAAATCATTTTTATCTTCTACAAAATTTGCACATTATAAAGTTATCTTAAATCATGATTGTAAATTGACACATTCAAAGAAATTTCATTTTTCAATTTCATTTTACTCTATTTAATGAATATTTTTTCATTGAAGAAAAAATAATTATATTAAACAATTTAAGTTTAATATAATAATTATTTTTTATATATGAATTTATTACAAATTAACATGGTTTAATTTAGAAATCACAATTAATGGTATTTTAATAAAAAAATTTGCATCAGATATTCAATTCATTTTATGATCTGATTTGAAAGAGACAACAAAAATGTAGTATAAAATTATTTTTCAAAACAGATTATATATTTTAAATAATATTCATATCATCATAAAATTATTTAATTCATGAAATACAAACAAGGTTTTCATTGATTTAATTATAACATCTTAATCATTGACATGTAGAATTTGGGACATGTAAAATAGATAATGATACTTATTTTTGCTGTAAAATAGTACCTCCAAAATACTTATGTATAATGTTACATTTATCTTAAAGCTATTTATGTGTCTAAACATAATCACATGTTCAATAGTTGTTTGATAATTGAGTATCATTGTACATACTTCAAATACCATTTTTTTGCTGATTTATATTTTACAACGAACTTGCATTCCTTGAGATTATGTTATAGCACCATGAAATGTACAAAATACGCTTTGACACTTATAAATAAAAGAATAAAATTGCGAATGTTTGAATTTATATTTACATAAGTTTTTAAGAAAGCAGAAAATGCTTTGGTAATGTTATTACATAATCATTTTCATTTATTTAAAAGCTAATGTACTTAAAATATATAATGTTTAAACATTTATTAAAAGGAAGCAAGAAAAAAATTTATTACATAGTTAATTATTACAATTTCTGTATGATAACTGTATATATAAATTCTTATCTATTATTTTAATAATCTGTGTGTGTACGTTATGGACTATGTACCTATGTACAGAAAAAATCCGAATATAAAAAAAAATTTAATGTCTTTTTTAATACCTTTAATCTAGTGATAATCTTAAATGAAAGATTTTTATATTTATGAATTTTTATAATTTTATTTTAATTTAAATTCTAATTGATATAAATAATATGAATATATTTGATAATAAATTTAATATTTAAAACTATTTTAAAATTTTTCTGTCCTGCTGATTTAAAATCTGCATATTTTGCATGATATTAAACAAATTAATGAATTAAATTATACAATTTTTTGTATAAATATTGTATAAATTTTTTGAAAATGTAATATTTTTATATATTATATTTAATTTATATTTTAAACGTAAAATTAAGTATAAAGATTAATAAAAATAATCATAAAAATATATTTTTTTAAATTAAATAAAATATATTAAAAAAATATATCTTAAATAAATTGCAAGATATATGTTTACCAAGGTAAAATTTTTCCATCATATTGTATAAAACAACCTGTATGTTTTTCAGTTAATGTATTTAATGTTTTTAAAATATTATTAACACTAGTATCAATATCCATGGGCGCCCCGTTACCGCCCATATCTGTACGCACCCAACCAGGATGAAAACAAGCGACGAGGATTCCATCTTGCTTTAAATCAATGCTCATTGATTTTGTAGCTGCATTAAGTGCTACCTAAAAATAAGATAAACATTATAAAATATCTTATAATATGAATTATAAGATAATTGGTATATTCTTTATTATATTATTTAGACTATTTAGTATATGTAATGTGATTGTAAATATATCACATTATATGTTAATTGAAATAAAAAAAAATAATATACCTTACTACATCTATATGGATAATATCCACCTTCATTATTTTCAGCAATACTTCCAAGAATTGAAGACATGTTAATAACTGCAGCTCTATTAACATTCATTTTTGATTTGTCTTTAAAATTATTAGATGCTATTTTCAACAGTGGTAGAAGAGCCTAAAAAATTTATAAAAAATTAATTATATTTATTAATATTTATTAATATTAATTAAAAAATGTATAAACTAAAATATAGTGAATCTAACATATAAAAAAAATATATTTAAATTATACAAAGAATTCTATAAAATTAAACTATTTTATAAATAATAAATTATTTATAAATAATAGTTTATAAATAAATAATTTTATAATAGAAAAAACAAGAAATAAAAATTCTAATGATTTTCATTAAGATAAAATATATATTTATATATATTTAATTATATATACATATATGTTATATTAAAATTAATTATTTTTTTATATAATTTTATGAATTATATAAATGATAAACAATTAGTTTTTTAAATAAAATGTATAAATATTTAGATTTTAAAATATTATATCTTCTAAATATAAAAATGATGCTTAAAATAAATTTAACACTTACTTTTGTTAACATAATTGGTGCTATTGTATTTACATAAAATTGTTTTATAAGCTGTTCTTCTTTGACAAGACCGAGTCTTGTAAATTTTGTACTAATTCCGGCATTATTATATAAGACATTTAGTCCTGCCTTCCCTACTTTTTCGTTCACAATTTGTACTAATTTGTCGTAATCTTTAGTATTTGTTATATCTTTAAAAAAAAAGAAAAAAGAGTTATAAAAATTGTTCAATTTTCAAAACGTATATATTAATAATCATCAAATTAAAAATAATAATTTCTTGCAAATTTATTGAATCTATTGTCTATGATAAAATAAAAATCACATATATATTTCGTTTTTATTTTTAAACAATCATTTTTAACAATTATAAATGATTTAATAATAATTATTTTTGAAAAATAAATATATGTATATCTCTATAAAGATAAAATTTGATCTTTAAAATTTTAATCTATATATTAAATTTAATACTTTCATAGATGAGTTTAAACTATTAACTATAGAACTTCAACTATAGTATAGTGAATTCCATTTACTATAATAATAGTTCTGGTCAATAGATTTGTATTTTTGATAAAGCAATTGCGAACAGTACGTGTTATTCAGTATTTCGCTATTTTTGGTGTTCAATTTTCAAAATAATCTATAAAAATTGATTTTGCAATTGATATTTAATGCAAAATTGTTTAATCTCGACGATTTATATATTTTCAGTTTCATTACAAATAAACAGTATGTAACAGACATTGGTAAGTCATATTTTTTTTTCTTTACTTCTTTTTATTTATAATTTTATTAAATTCATATCATGTAACATAATATTTCTTTATTTTTAAAAATTATATTAGAAGAAATTTTTAAATTATTTGACAATTTTTTTAACAATAAAAAAACAACTGAATTGGATTGAAAATGATTTAAAACACATAACGATATATATATGAACTTAATTTCTTAATTTCCTATATCTAAAATTAATATCTTTTGTACTATATATTATTTTTTTCGAAAAAATTATTTTAAAATTGATATATTTTATTATATAAGTTGTTTAATTACATTAAATAATAAATATAAATATAAAATTTCATTATTATCAGAATGAATAACATTTCATAATTTATTATCAGATATCATAAGAAGTACGTATCAATCAATGTAATCCAAATGAAATTCCAATATTTTTCAATAACAGCCATTAAATTTTTATTCTGCAAATATAGATTATTGTTTCTTCGATCATCAACCTGAATTGTTTCTTATTTTGTACATTTTAATATGAAATCTAAGAAAAAAAAATCGTGGTGTCTTAATTGTCGAAAAAAATCACAAACTATGGATTCAGATTTAAGTGATCAAGAAACAGAAGACTATGCGAAATCTTTGAATAATCTTACGGAAAAACAAAATGATTTAACAGGTAATTTTTTTATAATTTGTTATTAAGATTTTTAGAAATTATAATATAAAAAAGATATTATAAAATTTTTTTTACATAGATTATTTTATTTAAATTTTTTTAAATATTTTTATATATTTTATTATTATTTGAATTTTATGTGACAAGCAATAAAAGAGAACAATTTTAATAAAATCATTTCGATATTTCACAATTTAAATCTTCTGAAAAAATCTTAGATTGAATATTCACATAAAGTTATTGATAATATATTTATTTATTACGAATGATAAAGAATGATTAAAACATGTTATGAAACATATTGTTTAAGGACAATTAAATATAATAATAAAATTTGATAAAATTTAATAAAATATTTTGTATATTATAATGATTACATTTAAATTAAATTCACTTAAAAAGTTATTCAATTAAATTGTTTTCGAAATGTGAAATAATTTTTTACTTTAAATTAATAAATTAAATTGTTTAAAATTAGAAATGAAGATATTCTTAGTATCTGAAGCATTGAACGTTTTTTTAAACATTGATTTTTTTCATTATTTTTATTTATAAAAATTCTTATAGATTGAAAATAAAAAGTTGTTTTACGAAATAATACTGAACATGTGTTATATGTCATCAAATTAATGGCTGAATTAATTTTGAGTAAATAATCTTTTTGTATTTTATTATTCCTGATTAGATATGATAATTAAAATAAAAAATGAAAAAATAAAAAATATATAATATAAATATAAAATATAAAATAATGTAAGTGGTAACTTTAATACTTTACTATAATTTTTTTATTAAATGTATTTTTTAAATATTTATTTTATTAATATTTTATTAATATAAAAATTATATTAAAAATTGTATCAAAATATTTTAAAAACAAAATGTATATATCACAATTATTTAACTTTTAGATCAATCTAGAAAAATTTTATTCATTATATAAAAACAATTTTTCAGTTATTGTATAATTTTTTTTTTATAAATTATCAGTAATCAAACATATTAGATTATTGATAAAGATTTTTGATAAAGATAATAATGAAAATATTTTATTTGAAGTAATAAAATGATATGATATGATATAGTTACATACCTATTTCGATGATATGAATATTTTTTGATTTCTCAGCTAATGTAGTTAATTCCTAAAAAAAAATTCAAATTCTAAGATAATTGCCAATTATTTTTAATGACATATTTTAAGATATTCTTTAAATTTTTTTGAAATTTTACAATATGTAATTCGAATAAATTCATAAATTATTTGAAACAATCACATAATTATCATCTTTAATAAAAAAAAAGAATTATTTAAAATAGATGGAAAGATACTAATACATGAAGATAAAAAGAATTATTCCTAAGATAGATATAGATATAAAATAAAAATTTTATATAATAAATTCTCGTATATATATAATAAAGATTATTTGAATTTTCTAGAATTTATATTAAACTTTTTCTGAGAACCGGTTTTCAAAACCTTTTCATAATGAAATCTACAGTGACTTGCATTGAATGTTTTTTTGCGTAATTGTGTGACATACAATGTGTGAGTTACTAATATAAATCGGACTTGAATCTGTGTGTCTGTAGTAACCATATAATAGATGGCGGTAAAGAACTCAAGTAGGCGTCAGTTCGCTTTTGTCTTTTAGTTGTAAAAAGCCGTTCGATTAAGTGCTATATAAAATAGAGAACATTCCTTACAGAGAAAAAACATTAGTTACTCCTTTTATTTATACATTCCTTTATAACGTGAATATTAAAACGAATATTAAAGTGGAACGATGCCACCAATTGGTAAGTCCAATTTATAAATCGAATCCGGTTATTGCATAATGTCTTTCATTCACTTGACCAATCTTACCCTTGCTTTATTCACGTCTCGACAAGTTGCGAAAATATTTTCTGGTGGTTGCGACTGTTTCACTAGGTGTTTCACAAAACCTAATCCAATTCCACGGTTGCAGCCCGTGATCAAAATTGACTTCATTATACGTTACAATTATCTTCTCGGATATTTTTCTTATAATTCTCCAATTACTGTTGTATTCCGTGAAATCTTATTTTATATTGTGAAACACGAGTGTCATCAGGGTGACGTCACGTAGCCGTGAGCGGCTGGTAATAATCATGGCGACGTTAACGTTGCTCACGAGGCTTGTGACATTTCGTTCCGCTCACGCCAAATTGCTCGAGTTACCATGGTCGACATGTAACACTTTTCCTTATGGAAGGACTGCAATGGCTTGCATGTGCTGTGAGTTTTAGGATTCTGTGATTTGTAGATGAGAACACGGTTTAGTTTTATTAACATTATGTTAAATCTATGTATTTGTATATTGACAACCGGTAATTATATTAGGTTAAAAATAATTGAGTTGAATTAATATGATTCTGTGATTTGTTTGAAGTCTATTAATTGACGTACGATTTGGTCGATAGTTTTATTTTTAGACAGTTTCATCATAATATAGTTATATATTTATGATAACAAAAATATTACATAACCTCATTCTTATAATTGCTTTTGCATTTGAAAGTTTAAAATTAAATATTGTTGTATTTGTTTATTGCAGCTGATCAAAAATTCATGTATGATCTAATTGTTATTGGGGGTGGATCAGGTGGTTTGGCAGCAGCTAAAGAAGCAGTTAATTTCGGTGCAAAAGTTGCAGTTTTAGATTTTGTCACACCCTCTCCACGAGGTAGCACTTGGGGTCTAGGTGGTACTTGTGTAAATGTTGGTTGTATACCAAAAAAATTAATGCACCAAGCAGCTTTGTTAGGAGAATCAATTCATGTAAGTCTTTTATTGATAGATTAATTATTTTTTATAATTCAATAATATTTTAAATATTGAATTTTTATATTTTTAGGACTCAGTATCTTATGGTTGGCAGTTACCAGATCCAAAAACTATTAAAAATGATTGGGAAGCATTAAGAACAGCAGTACAAAATCATGTAAAATCTGTAAATTGGGTTACACGAGTAGAGCTCAGAACAAAGTTAGTAATATTTTATTTTTATTTCTTAAATATAAAATTTATATTTATTCATTCTTTTTATTATTACAGAAAAATCGAATATTTTAATGCACTTGGTTATTTTAAAGATCAACATACAATATTAGGAAAACTGAAAAATGGAGAAGAAAAAGAGTTTACAGCTCAAAATATTCTGATTGCTGTAGGTGGTAGACCGAGGTATCCTGATATTCCTGGTGCTTTAGAATATGGTATTACCAGTGATGATATCTTTAGTTTAGAAAAAGCTCCAGGAAAGACACTTATTGTTGGTGCTGGATGTATCCTTTTTCTATAAAAATATTAATAATTCTAATCTTTATTTTTCTATTATTGTATGTAATTTTTTGTAAAACTTGAAATATAATATAAAATATTATATATATATATAAATATAAGGTCTAATCAACTTCATAAACATTTTAATAAAATTTTTTCTTATAAAAAAAAATTTTTTCTTTAATAAATGAATAGATATTGGTTTAGAATGTGCTGGATTTTTAAATGGCTTAGGTTATGATGCAACTGTAATGGTACGTTCAATCGTGTTACGAGGATTTGATCAACAAATGGCAAATACTGTTGCCCAGGAAATGGAGAGACGTGGTGTACACTTTATTTATGAAGCTAAACCATCAAAAATTGAAAAGCAAAGTGATGGTCGACTTCTTGTACATTGGGTTGATAAAGTATGTGTTGATAACATCTTATAATTTGAAAAAAAAAAAGAATTAATATTTAAATTATTTTTATATAACAATCTTTATTTTAGGATAGACAAACACATCAAGATACTTTTGATACTGTTCTTTTTGCTATTGGCCGCAAACCACTCACAGAAGAATTAAAACCTGAAAATATTGGTCTTAAACTTGTTCCTGAAACTGCAAAAATAGATGCAATAGATGAGCAAACAAATGTCCCAAATATATATGCTGTTGGTGATGTACTTCATGTGAGTTTTAAATTTTCAATTTTTTTAATAATAGATTTCTTTTTCTAATTTATATACAATTTATATTTAATTTTATATATTCTTTAATATATAAAATTATATTTAATATTATATTATTATTAAAATATATATCATAATTATTATTATAAAGGATATTATATAAATTACTAAAATAAAATTATTATTTGTAATTATTTGTAACTCTTTTTGTGTATTATAGAAAAGACCAGAATTAACTCCTGTTGCTATACATGCGGGTCGATTATTGGCAAGAAGATTATTTGGAAATTCAACGGAACAAATGGATTATGTGAATGTAGCAACAACAGTATTTAGTCCTTTAGAATATGGTTGTGTTGGCCTTAGCGAAGAAGCAGCAATTGCTATTCATGGAAACGATAAAATAGAAATTTATCATGCATATTACAAACCAACGGAATTTTTCATACCACAAAAAGATGTTTCTAATTGCTATTTAAAAGTTATTGCTTTTAGAAATGGTGATCAGAGAGTGCTTGGCATGCATTTTATTGGTCCTAATGCTGGTGAAGTGATTCAAGGTTTTGCTGTTGCTATTAAGTATGTATTTTATTTTTTTTGTATCATATTAATAATTACTTGGTGTTTTATTGTTTCATTAATTTTTTTTATTTTTTCAGGTGTAATTTAACATTCCCAAAACTAAAAGATACAATAGGAATTCATCCAACAGTAGCAGAAGAATTTACACGTATATCTGTAACTAAACGTTCTGGGCTTGATCCTAAGCCACAAAGTTGTTGCAGTTAAAATATACATATTAGACTTGTTGCATTGCTAATATTTGTGAATACTTTTGAATATGATGGATCACGAACGTTTTCCGTGCTTATTGCATTGATCGTTCGCTCTAGAAGTAATTTTCTAATCGGAGATTCTTTTAACTGAAAATACTTTTTATTAAATGCAAGTTGGAGAGAATTCTTCGAATATTACAATATTTTCAATATGAAATTAGAAAGCAATGTAGAACGCATTGCGCTGTATGAAAAATTTGCTTCCTTTGGAGCATTAATAATTAATAAGAATATAACCTACATTGTTTTACAGTACTTACAATAATTTTTATAAACATAATTTTTTTCAAATACATCAATATATTCTCATATGTACATTCGAAAGAAAATAAATAAAAATCAAAATATATATTATATATTATTAATTTATTCGATAACATTAAGAATAATATTACACATTTAAATAAAAAATTAAATAATAAATTATTGACAGTAAAAGCTAGTAATGATAATATGTGAAAATAGAAAATTTATGTATATTAAAATATATATAGATATATATTTTTTTTTTTCAACTTTCTAAGCTTATTATATGACGTTTCTTACGTTGTTGATTTTTTTTTTTCCTTAATATATCAGGAAAGCCACATCATGGAGATGCCATTAACTACAACATAATTTTCTTTAAATGAAAATTTCTAAAGGAAATATGTCGCAGTCTATGTTCTACAATCAAATAAATATTTTAATTACATTGTTTAATTGTTATATTTAATATTAATTGAAACTTTTTTTTTTTTTATAGAGAATGTTTTACTATCGAGAATCCAAAAATGCTGTATATAAGAATATCAAATTCAAAAAATAAATTTTAAATGCAATCCTCAAGTATTGTGTTATCCAATTGACCAGTGATTGGAATATTTCCAAATTTTTGCAAAGTTTTTACTGCATTTATTATAGCAGTTTTTTGGTATAATGCATCTGAATTAGCGATTCCACTTTCCAAATATCCATACTTTTTCATAAAATCTATCTACAAAATTATATAAATTTTTATAAGTAAAAGATACATAATATTTTACACTGAACAAATTTAAAGAAGAGATTTCAAATCGATAAATTTCAAGTGATAATTAATTATTGAATTAAAAAGAAAAATAATAATAAACAATTGTTTTGATCTTTTTATCAAATGAAATATTCTCTAATAAAATTGTATTTTTTTTCATCTACCGTAGACAAGGATGATGAAATATTTTTTACTGAATCAACAGGTATTGATTCACATTTTTTCAGAAGAAGAAAGCTAAAATAACTTCATGAATGTAATATTTTTTTTTTCACAGATTATTTATTTCATTGAGCAATAATATTAATCAATAAAGAAATATATTTTTTTTAAATTTCACTAACATTTTCAATGTCTTAATACTTCAGAAGCTTCTTTTATTAATCAAGAATTAAACCGGTTTAACGATTTTTTCACGCAGCAGAGACTTCAGCAGATTGATAATGAAATTGATAATGTTGCTTGACCTTTGCTTGTAATTATGAAAATTTATAAAAACACAATTATTCAACGAATAATTATTTTTAATCATAATTATTCATATATAAGAATAAATGATAGATAAAATAATAGAAATCATTATTTCATGAAACAAATTATTTTTTTTTATATATTTGGAATGAATTTTTTAATGAATAATGAATAAATTAATTAGTCAAATTTTTTGTGATCACAAAATCATACAAAATGAAGTATACAATACATATGCATATATTGGAAGTGAAAAACAATATAATTATAGAAAGGATTATTATCTTATAAAGAATTAAATTATTTCTAATTACCCAATTAAAAAACAATTTCCACTTGAATCACCCTATAATTTAAGACGTAATTATGTAATCATTTGCTAATTTCATATCATACGAATTGAAATATTTTAATAAACAATCAAATCAATCAAAATGAATTTGACCAATTCGGAATTTTCGACGTTAAAAAAATCAGAATATTCTACAGAGGAGGAAAAAAGTGAATATAATGATAATATAAAATATTTGAAAGAAGAAAAAAATTCCACCAAAGAATCCAATCTTTGTCCATTTGTAAGTAATATAATTGTCTCCAGATTATATGAAAAAAAAAAAAAAGAAAAATTAAATTAAATTAATATATTTTGCGATAATTTTAAATATATATTTAAAATTATTTTCAGGAATTGTTATGGAGTTTCGGATTAAATTCAGACGTACCTCTAATAAATTTAACCACGAAAAATCGAACGCTTATCGCTTACTCCTGTTCGCATATCGTAATAATCTATAACTATGAGACTAGAGAAGCGTTAAATCTTCAAGGTCATGTAAGAATTTAATTTTTTTTTATTACACTATATTTACATTATCTTTTCTCTCTCTTCTTTTTTTTTTTTTTTTTATCTATACAAGTAAAGTGATGAAATATAAAATTTTACAGAAAAATACGGTGAGAACGTTATCGACGTCGATAGATGGAAAATGGTTACTGTCTGCAGATTTTGAGGAGGATTGTGTAGTTGTTGTTTGGGACACTGAAACTGGGTATAAAGTTTGATGATGAAAAAAAGGATAAATTGTAAATTATACAAGATAAAGAATTTATCTTATATAATATATAATATTATTCAACTTAGATTATTCATGTTAATGAAAATATATAAATATATTCATCGTAATAATCTTGCCAGGATTTTTTGAAGTCATGACACAATAACGATTCGATTTCCTTCGCATTTTTCGTTTGAAATATTCGGCAACATTAAATACGCATTAAGTAATAAAAAAAAAAAAAAAGAACTGAAGATATTCTTTTCTAGTGTACCAATTTCTACTCTATTCAATCCACACGATGATCAAGAAATGACAGCGGTTAGAATTAGCCCAAATGCTAAATACATAGTGACTGTTGGAAATGAATTTCACCAAAAGGTTCATTTTTGGCTGTGGACATACGGAAAAGATAAACCTGATAGTTAATTACACTTACTGCATTCTAATTAAATTTTATTTAAAATACAAATTATTGAACATTGTTATCCAGTTCCGTTAAATTTCTTATAATTCGTTACAAAGCATATATAATCTAGGATCAAAATCATATCTCAAAAAATCATGGAAACATCCGTCACAACTGGATGAATTTCCAGTCAATGATTATTTTCATATTTTTGGGACATCTTATAGTTATCTAAAATTTTCAAATTTATGTTTTAGAGACTGTAGAGATAACCGAATTTGATACGAATAGAATAAAAGAAATAGCATTCAATGAATATTGTTCGGAAGAGTTTGTTTTAATTGCCGATTATAATGTCATATTTTTTAAATGGGTTAGTATTCATCAGTTCAAAACCATTCTTTTATATCTCTTATTAATCATTAATATTCGAGTAAAGTATAAAATATTTCTAAAAAAAAGAAAACCAATTTTGACACTTAATTTTCTTAATAATTTTTCCACGCGTATAAACAATAACAATTTATGAAAATTTTATCAGGAACAAGAGGAATTGAAATTTTACGTACCACAAATTTCGAGCAAGCTACGACGATACGGGACCTTCAATTGCTCTTGTTTTATACCTAAAACGCTACGAGTATTAACAGCTACAACAAATGGTAAAAAAGAAAAAAACAAATAAAATAATATTACTTTAATGAAAAATTATGACTCTAATTAAAATTCTTGATCAATTTTATTGATATTTACAGGATATATCATTGTTTGGGATACTTCTGGTGAGAAAGATAAAACTAAGAGTTATGTTGCGATTAAAAACAAGGAAAGAAAATACATCAAGAGTGTTAAGTTGGAGATAAGTAGTATTCTGGTGGTATTGCATAAGGACGGGTATATCTAATATTTTTTCTCAATAAATAACATATAATTTCATTGTTACAATATTGCACAAAGTAAAGTGTAATTTAATTTTAAGGTAAACAATAATGATAATTATCGTAGGAAGATAGTGACTGGATCCTTAAATGGGCGCATCAATTTCTACGATCAAGATTTAAAAATACTCTATTGGTGTGAACATGAACTTCTGGATGGTATACGATCGATAAGTTTTGATTTTTCATCTTCGTTATTGGCTCCTGTGGATAGAATCAGTGAAACTGATTGTAAGCATTTATTTGAATTCTAAAAGGAAAAAATGTTTTAGAAAAAGATTTTAAATTCAAGTAAATAGGAGATGAATTGTCGATAAATACGAATAATTCTTTGAATTATTCTTTAGGCGCGATGATTGTCTAATTTTTCATAATTTTATTAAAAATATAAAACAATAAAGAAACAATTGAAAATAGCGTGAAAAATTAATATAATATAAAAGAAAAAAATAAGAGTGGAAGAATTTTATTTTGTAGTAGAATTCGATGATGATGATGAGGACGAGGAAAAAGAAGGAATGGAAGATATTTATTCGGAAATCACGTTAGGTGTCCCTGTTTGCAATAAGAAAAAAAAAGAATTTGCAGAAAATTTAAAATCGAAATATTATGGAATGATCGATAAAATTCCATCGACGTTGACCGTGAACTTGGAAATATTACCCAAGAGATATTATGATAAACCTCCAAGAAAGCCTATCGTAGCCACCGAAGCCACTGTACGAGGTGCTCCTTTCCATTTCAATAATTTCTTTATCAGTAAGTGTTATTCATCACGTTTATTGATCATTCAATAAATTAATACTAATATAAATAATATGGATTGATTATATTCTTATTTGTTATATTTCAATTTTATTGAAGATTTTTATTAACGTTTTTTTAAAAGGTTGTTTGAGCGGAACAGTTGCATTAATAGAAATTCCAACGTTCAAATGCCGATTTATTTTTCGGCATACAAAAGTTGCGATCTTAAGCTTGGACGCACATCCTCGATGGTATTTATAAGAAATTTGTATAATTCAACGATTCCTTTCCTAATTTTTTTCCTTTCTATTTTTATTTTAATTTACGAGACAAAGAGAAGGAGAATAATAATTTTTATTTTTTGAATTTGAATTTCAATAAATTAGAAATTGAAAATTCTTCTCTATTATTCATTGTTTCATTCTATAAAAAAATAAAATGATTAAATCTCTTTTTCGTAGATTATCATTTTTTTATAATAATATTATTAACATTGTTCTTTCACAAGTAATTATATAGTCACCGGTGATGCAAATGGTTACATGTGCTTGTACGATTATGAGAAACATAAGATCATAGTACGGGAAAAAACTCCACCTTTTCCAGATTTTCGTCCACTGATGGACGAGCAAGTAAAAAGTGGACACATAATTTACATCACGTGTCCATTCAGCCACGAGACACTGATTGGCGTTACAGCGCTAAAATATTCCCAAATAGGTATCCAATTATTATTGTAATACAAATTTTAATATTTTTTTTTTTTTCTTCTGGGTAAACTATTGGTTTGGATCAATGAAATCAATGTACCATCATTATTTTCCAGTTTCGAGATTTTAATGTGAGATGTCGCTAGTATCCCATTCTCGCATAATAAACGAGATATCTGTAACGAAAAATATACATAAGATATTTCGATTTAAGTGATACATAGTCGCATTTGATCTTGAAAATATGAATAAAAATATAAATTTTTATGTTTTATTTTCTATTTTCTGGATAAATTATCGGATCAATGAAATTATACGTAAATAGATCAATTATTATTTTAGAGTTTCGAGAATTTTTAATCGCAAAAATGGCAAAACAAAAGATTTCGAAACTTTTTAAATTTCGAAGCGAAGCGTCGCATTTAACGCACGTAAGGCAAACAAGAAATTTCTAACAAAATATATACGAAATATTTCGATTTAGGTGACATGCTCGCGTGTGGTCTTGAAAATGGATCGCTTTGGATATTGCATCCAATCACTTTGGAACCCATTGATAAAAATCCTTACAAACATTCCATGCAGTCAATTCATAAATTGGCTTTCTCAGACTGTGGAGAATATCTGGCTTATGCAGTAAATAAACACATGATAATTGATATTTATTCGTAAATCATCATATTTAAATCCTTCAAAGTATATTTACATTAATTGTTATTGTAATTTCTATAAATAATAAATAAATAAATATTTTTTTTTTTTTTTTGAGGATAACACATTGGCGGTAGCAGTATTTAAGAAGAATCATAAGAGAAGCAAAGACGATGATAATGTGTGGAACTTTATTGGAAAATATCGTTCGCACAATGCAGAAATAAAAAACGTACTTTTCGGTCCAGCCACTATAGAAAGTGTTGTATATCGATTATTTTCAATAGCAGAAGACAAAACTTTAATTGAATACAATCTTAAAAATAGGTAATTTAAAACATTATATTTTTTTTTGCAATTAAATCCTAAATATTTCGTCCATTTTGTCCAGCGGTCCATATCCTGATCCAGGCTTAAAAATACTTGATGTTTATAAAATCGAAAATGATGCTATACCTTTATGCCTCGAATGGTATCCACAATTTGGCATTGAAGGATTTCTGGTGTATTCCACCTCCGAGGTAATATAATTTGGTCGATTTTCTATAATCAATTCTAAAACTTTAAATATTTAAAATATATTTAAAATGCATAATTTCCGAGAGATGGCAGTTTAATTTGTAATTTATTTTGGCCAAATCCATTTCCAAATAAATATTTCGTTATTGTTGATTAAAATAAATAATAAAAAAAAAATAAATAATTGTTCAATATTTCATGCATAATATTTATTATGTGATTAGTATAAATTTAGATTGCTAAACGATATGACGAAATTGACTCGAGGAACGTTTTTGGGACCCCTTTATAGTTCACCAGTTAAACAGATCAAGGTGATGAATCGTGTGAATCTGTAGAAAAATTATGGAATTATCGTGTTTAACTGTAATAAAAATGTTTTTACAGGTACTGTCTAGTAAAGACCTCAAAGCTCTTAGATACATGGTATTTGCAACTGATAAAGAAATAGGTCTTCAGATACTTCCCTTTGATGGAAATCCTTACAAGACTCTAGGAATGATTGGACATCCGCATAAGGTATGTAAGAAAAACATTGTAAAAATGATCATGACAATTCAACAAAACATGAAATAATTTTATCAACGATGAACTCTCAAACTTTATTACAGTATACTTATATTATTTTATTATAAAATTAGATTAAACTTTTAAAAATTGCCATCCATATAAGTGTAATTTTAATAGATCACACATATATGCGTTAATAATAATGGAAACCTTTTGTTCACTTCTGGTTACAATGATCCGTCTATATTAATATGGAAAATAAAATACAAGTAAGTATACTTGATAATAATGAAAATTCTACTTATTAATTTTCATCATTCCTGTTCAAAAAATGTATATAAAAATAAATTTATTTTCTCTTTGTCGCTCCCCAATTGATTTCCACTTGTAATTATCATTTCGTATGTCGTTCTTAAATTCACTTGGAAAAATATTTCACTTACTTTTCTCTTCTAATAGCTGCCTTTATTTATTCCATTCCTTTTAACGATACTTTGTCTCAAGGTCTGTTGATGTGTTATCACATCTAGGAGGCAAAGGTCTCTCGCCATATTACTGTTTGATAGAAGGTGGTAAAAATGGTTGGCTTATCAAAGAGATACAAGACCTGTTTTATTACTCTCAAATTTTGCATCAAGGGGAGAATATAACGAGCACCAGGATAATATCCGACAAGGTGAACATCACCGAATTACCAAACCTTATGCGCTCTATTGGATATTATCCAAGTAACGAGGAGGTGATCTTCGCTCGATCATAGAAAATTTCTCTACTTTTTTTTTAATTGGTATTCTTTTTAACGTTTATCAAATTTGACTCGTTTCAGATAGAACTTTTTATGGGGGAGGTCGCGTATAGAGATTACGCGGAGACCGGCAATTTAGTGGACAATATTAATTTTGAAGATTTCGTGAAACTTTATATAAATCATCGTCCATGCTTTGGGATTTCTAATCATAATATATTAGAAGCTTTCAAAATATTTTCAAATCAATTGGATGAAGAGGATCCATTCTTAACTCGTGAAGAATTCATGAGGTTGTTGCTTGGTCACATTCCTCATACGGTTATAAAAAAGGACGAGATGCCTTTTGGTTGGTTTATACATTTTTTCCCCTAGAAAATATAATATAAGTGTAATATTCGATGTGTTATTTCAATTTTTTTTTAAAAATATACGTTATTTTTTTTTTTTTAGGAGAACCATTAACAGTTCAAGAAGCATTTACATATATGAAGTTTCTTATTGGATTTGAAGGAACTTTTGATGCGATAAATGACAAATCATTAATGTCCATTGATTTTACGTTCTTGCCAGAGGTATATTTATCAGAGATGTTTTTTAACGTATAGTTATTGCTTGATTGTAATATAAATCATATTTATTTACATGGACTGAAAAAAATCATAGATGTATATATTGTTATTACTGATATTTATTTATTTATTTTTTTTTCTTTTTCTTTAATATACATTACAACTTAAAAAAAAAAAAAAGAAGAAGAAAGAAATAGTCTTCTTATATAAAAAGATGATTTTTAATAATTTTTTTTTTCTTTTTTAAAATGAACAAATATACAAAAGCCAATTAATCATATATATATATATAAGCGCATCGTGAAACAAGTAGTAAGTATTTACATCTATTCTGTGAACAGAAAGTAAAGTTAAAAAAAAAATTGATAATACGAAAAAAATATATTAAATTATGAATTGTACATTTATTTATATTTATTTCTCTGAATTGACTCTATCATTATTAATTATTTTAAATACAAAAATCCGATCAACATTTAACAATTAGATAACAAAAAAAGTTACTTCTAAATATTTAAATTTTTAAATTTGCTCTCAAATAAATATCCTAAATAGAATGAGAAACATGAAACATGTTAAACAAGTATGATCCATCAGTCATACTTATATACAGCTTTACAATAGAAGATCATACAACGAAAGAGAGAGAGAGAGAGAGAGAGAGAGAGAGAGAGAGAGAGAGAGAGAGAGAGAGAGAGAGAGAGAGAGAGAGA